TTATAGGGATTAAGTGTTTTTGTATGAAATATCACTTTTTTACATTTTGCTTCTATTTTTAAATGACAAAAATTTCACATTCAGTGCTTGCAGCAATGTTTTTACCTTTTTAACCTAGGTACTGCCTTTATTATTGTAAAACCGGTTTTGCCTACCCTGTAATAGTTATACATTATTATTTCAGCAAAAGGGAATTCCCGTACCAAATGATATTGTTAACATTCAACATGGGCCATTCAATAAGTTAAGTTTCGAAGAAAATTCCATTTCGTTTTCAGTAAGTTCCCGTATATTGGGTGATAATTGTTTTAAATATCTTGTACAGCAGTGTCCCCGAGCCACCGGGTCTGATGTTGATCAGATGCTGTAGACACATGACCATTTTCTCTTGAAGTGCGTCAACAACCGCTGGGTGCTCAAGTTTACAGCGATCTGAAATGAACAGAATGAAATTGTTAATTAAACCATTATGCTCCTATCAACAATATTACATAGAAGATTGTTCTCTTACAGATGTTGTGTTTCCTGTTGTTGTGTTTTCTGTGCACATCAAGTTAAAATTTGTTCTGTGAGTATTAAGTTATGACAATTCAACTATAATCTTAACTGCAAAATCTTTACATTGCATTTGATAAAACAAAAAAGCATTATTATTTCCTTTTATAGGTTAAATGACAAAACTGTATCAAATTTACATGTTTGTTTGGGTTTTACGTCACACCAACACAGTATGGGTAATATATAATTGGCGACGTTCCAGCTTTACTGATTGAGGAAAACTGTGCTACTGTGCATTATTTCAGGCACGAAGGGGCACCTGAGTAGAACCACCGACGTTCCGTTAGCTAGCTGGATAGCTTCCTCATATGAAAGAATTCAAAGTCCCTGTCGGGATTCAAACTCACAGCGGTGAGGGGCAAGTTGAAAATTTGCTTGTACTTTAATAGTATTTACCTGTGAAAAGTATAACGATTGCACGGAGAAGGCTTTCTTCCTGCACGGACAAATTCAGTTCCGCCAACTGTTTGATATAATGATGACGGGCCTTGAATATGCTCCACTGGGAAAAAATTTCCCTAATTCGTCCAAATGTAAAGGTGAACCCCATGGTAAGGTTATTTCATCTTTTATGCATGTCAAGATTCTGCATTGTACTCTTATATGAACAAATAATTCCTGTCTCAACACGTGGACGCTGTTAACATAAGATAAAAAGAACACCTGATGATATTTAGCATAAGATACTAAGAATTAACATGTGATGCTATTGAACATAAGGTACAAAGAACACGTGTTGCTATTGAGCATAAGGTACAAAGAAACACGTGCTGCTATTTACAAAAGGTACAAAGAACACGTGTTGCTATTTACAAAAGGTACAAAGAACATGTGCTGATATTAACAAAGGTACGAAGAACATGTGGTGCTATTGGCACAAGGTATAAAGAACACGTGCTGCTATTTACAAAAGGTACAAAGAAACATGTGCTGATATTAACATAAGGTACAAAGAACATGTGGTACTATTGGCACAAGGTATAAAGAACAAAAATAAGATAAAAAGAACTTTGGGGATGCTTTTAACATAAGTTTTAAAAAGAAAGCATTTAAAGGGAAAAAAATTTTTAATATAGCACGATTTTAAAATATATGTGTAGTTAAATAAAAAAACGAGTTAAAATTATTTTTTTATCAGGCCTTTATATAAAAGGGAATCAAGGGGAACAAAAGGGGCTTTGTTTGTTATGCCTTTTTTTTTTTTCCTGGTTTTTGGGTTTAAATTTCAACACATTTTTTGGAAAAATTTTCCCCGGGCGGATTATCCCCCTTTAAATTTGGCTTTCCTTACCCCTAAGGCCCCAACAATAACCATTATTTGCCTTTTTTTCCTCCACAAGTGACTGACAACAAAACCCTCCATGTTTTTTGAAATCAGCATTGAAAGAATATGACCATTAGAAAAACCAAGTATCGGGAATCTTTTTCAATTGTCCCTTTCCAAAAAAAAAGGGCTTTCCCCCCAAAAGGACTCACAAGTAACCATAATTTTACCAAATTCTCCTCAAGTGACAGACAAAAACCCCCAACTGTTTTTCTGCTTTCAGCAGGGGGAATCAAAACATAATGTATCTATCAATTGTTGAAAAAAAAATCCCCTCTCGGGGAAAAACCCCGGCTCCCGGGATGGGAGCCAGAAAAATTTCTGGATTACTTATCTTTGCTTTTTAAAAGCTTTTTTTCACTACCTGAGCCCTTTGGGTATATTTTATTATGCCGTTCTAAATTTCAAACCCCAACAAAAACAAAAATAAATAAAAACAGATCGTTCCCCTTTAAAGTGCATTTAACGGGTTTTAACTCCTTATATATTTTTAATGGGAAATTTAAACCCTTTTACTGCCCCAAAAATGAAAGAACTATACATGTATTTTTGACATCATTTATTGAAAAAAAAACCGCAGACTACTTAAGTGACACAATTTATAATAAAAAAAAAGCAAATGAAAAAAAAAAAAAAAAAAAACTTTCCTAAACAATACCTTTAATAAGGTTTGCTTGGTCATCTAAGCTCAACTGTTTAAATCCGGGTATTTCTTTAGCAAACGCAACTATCGTGGCTATCTTTTCTTCAAAGAATTTAAAAGCTGTATAAATCCGCTCGAGACGACCATCAATATCTATTCCCGTTGCGTTATAAAAGTCCTTGAATTCTTCATGTGTGATATTTCGCAAAAATCCAAAGACCTCTCCCTTTAGTCGATATTTCTCCTAAAGAAGTTGAGAAAGAAGAATAGCAAATTTGGGTGGCACTTAATTTTTCCATTTACTCCTTTATACTGTTGTAAGAAAATTTTCAAAATTAACGCAACTTCAAAAGACATCTGTGTCAAAGGGACGCATTCATAAAAGGCGCGCGGGAATGAACTTCATTTAAATCACGCGACTTGACCTACACTGGTGTTGTAAGGTGCTTTTTTTCTTGCACATTATCAATTGTTTTCACCTGTGCTATAAAAATCCGCCCTACGCCCCGTATAAGACATGCCGCTTTCTTTAAATGGCGTCATTCCCGCGCAAATTTCAAGCTGAGGATGATGTCATTTCGCCGTTATGAATTAAGGTGTAAATTCATTCTGAGAAAATAGATGCTACAAAATATTAGTTTCCGAATTTTTTTTTCAAGATATGAATCATATATAGTATGCAAAGAAAAGAAACAAACACCGGCTTTCATCACAGCCCGGAATATCGAAAAACTGTATAGCGGAACTGGCTGAGCCTGTAACAGCCATAAACAGTTTCCTTAAGCTCGATATTCCGTTATGTACCTGCAGCCGCACTATGATTTTTATATTTTTCTTTCACATCAGACTCAATTTTCTATTGTTTTCGTCAAATTATCTGTTTTCAACTGTGCTAGAAAAGCTCGTCTTACACGGGAAGTTGCGTCATTCCCACGCGTCTTTTATGAATAAATTGCATGCTTTAAGGATGACGACATTTCGCTGTTACGAATAAAGTTGTAAATTCGCTATAAATCTATAAGAATATACTGCTTAATGAAAATATTAGTTTTCTTACTATCTTTGCGAAATATGATTTATATGTACAAGGAAAAGTATCATAAACTGGCTTCGGTACAGAAAGATATATCTAGGCTCTAGGATCATTGTTAAGCGGAAACTCGCGGCGGAGTCAGTTACCGTCGAGCAAGATCATTTTAGGCAGCCGTTATGATTCTTATATTCTAGCATCGGTGAAAAAACAGACAAAAAGAGAGAATTAATAAGATTCAGTAAAGAACGTTCAAAACCGCAGAACTCAAAGCGTTGCAGGCTCCGTTAATTTCATTTGAAAGTCCTGTCAGATATGCAAGAAACTGGTCAATGTCATTTGCATCATTAAATTGTTGACTTCTTAAGAACATCGATTTGTAAATATTCCTATAAACGCAGGTTTGAAAGTGCATCTCTTACAGGAGAGAAAAACAACTGCCAGTATGCCCTTAGTAGTATATGGGCCGGTTTGGCCCCAAGACTGCGCATGCGCGGCGACCATTTTGTTTTCTATAATTAGTAACTCATTTGCATAGAAGAAATGACATCACTACACATGCGCGGCGGTCGTGTTGAATAACAGACTCGCGGCGGCATTTTGGATATTTTTTTAAGAATGACATCATCACGTTATAAATAGAAATAATATCTCCCGGAAGTATACGGAGCTGACTCGTATACACGACCTTAGGGCTTAAATCGCGGACATTGACTCTCTTTAATTAAGACAATTAATTTATTACTTTAAATTTGTTTCTTTATAAAAATTTTAAACATAAAACAAAATTTATGAAATTTATTTTCAATTTAATTCGATATTATGACTCTGTCAAATAATGTTTCTATATAAAATAATAATAAGGACATTTACTGTAAAATAATTTGATAAATATCTGCGTAAAATGCATACATACGATGTTGACTCCTCGGCGGTCCGAATCCAAATGACACAAATCATCAGTGTATTATTTCTAAAATGCTCTGATCACGAGTGTAAAGTCGCCACAATGTTATGGCGTGTGTTTATTTAGGGAAAACACTAACAATGGCCTATTGAAATGTTAAAGTTAATCCCTTTAAAGTAGCCACTTGGTCTGGCGTATGTTTATTTAGGGACGGATATGCGGACAATGCTCCATTCAACTGTCAAAGTTTATCCGTCTAAAGTAAAAACGGGTAATTAATTATTAATTGAAGTGTCAGTTTACCACTGGGGCATAATTTTAAACTCATTTTGGAAAAGAAACGTTTTAAAACTGAACATCACGAATGTGCAAAATTATAAAAAAAAAACTATTATAACCGAACAAAAATACAACAGAAAAAGCGTTTTTCGTCTTTTGTGCAACATTTTACGATATACATTTTGATTTTTTTTCGCATCAAATGATAGACCTGACAAAATGCTTCAAATTAAACCCTAGGTTCTCGATTCGATTTTTAGCCGTTTTCGAGTTATGGCCCATTAGCGGTTTTTAAACCATTTTTTTTAAAGTTTATAAAACCCTTAGATTTATATGCCGTTTGAAAGATCTCTGCCAGTAGATACAGAAAATGTATTATTATATAGATCTATCTTTTACTGTTTCTGAGATAGGAGAGTTTCAATATGGAAGACAAAATCACTCATGCGGAAAAACGCGCATAACTTATTCGTTTATGAACGAAACATAGTCATGTTGGTATCAAATTGAAGGTCTTGACGAGTATATTCTGACGCTGGTGATAGTGAAGTTCATACTTGAAGTAAAAATCACTCATGCGTAAAAAATATGTATTTTGGTTACTAGAGCAACCGAATCCGATATGATTTTTAAATTGTTTTGACTACCAATTGAAAGAACAGTTCATTACCTTTTATTTACACCCCCATTGGTCGATTTAATTTTCAGCCGTTTTTGAGTTATGACGCAAGAGCGATTTTAAACCCTAAATTGCGAAAGTCAATAAAAACGTTACAACTGTTTACCAATTGATTCGTCTCGTCGCGCTGATTAAGAAAATATATAGTTTTATGGGTTTATCTTTTACCGTTTTTGAGTAATTCGAGTTTAAAGTCACCGGAAGTGACGTCACAGAAATTTCAAAATCGATTTCTTCGTTATTACTTGACCGAATATATACGTGTTTTGTATCGTTGGAAAGCATTTTACCACACCTGTTACCTGACGCTATTTAAAAAGCCATTGGACCGGAACTGAAATCACTGAAGCGTAAAAACGTTTTTTCTGTACCACGCCTGGACCGATTTAAGGCGTGTTTGGTATCAAATGAAATGTCTCAAGCCGCTCTTTATGAATACGGACTAAAATGGAAATTAAAATCACTAATGCGTAAAAATCATTAAAATAACTAAAATAAGCTTACCCCCAGTCGGAGAGATTACATGAATTAAGAGTGTAATTCTTGAAGTCACCGCCACGCCGCCGCCAGCGCCGCCGCCGCCGCCACCACCGCCGCCACCGCCACCGCCGCCGCCACCGCCGCCGCCGCCACCGCCGCCGCCGCCGCCACCGCCGCCGCCGCCACCTTCACCGCCGCCATCACAAAGAAAACTGTCTTACAGCGTAAGAAGGATGATCATATCAATAGATGGAAGAATACCGCAGTGTACTTCTGTGACCACTTTAATAATGAATCAGTGTTCTGTTTGCCAGCAGTCTTTCTCAAGACGTGATGTCATGCTGAGACATCAACGTTATGTACATGGGAGTGACGACACTGTTAAAAGTGATTCTTTATCGCAACAAATCACTCATAGGGACACTTCAGAAAAGATGAATTTTCAACACCCATTTTCCATGGTCGTCTCCGGGCCTAGTGGTAGTGGAAAAACTGAATGGACTAAAACACTGCTTTTATCCGATCTAGTAAATCCGCCACCAGAGCGCATCATATGGTGTTACGGGCAATGGCAGCCTCTGTACGATGAACTTCAACGTAGAATACCCTGGATAGAATTTGTACGAGGTATCCCTGACTACTTGAATAGTCAAGAGTATATTAATACCCGTAAAAGGAACTTGGTTGTTTTTGACGATTTAATGACAGAAGCCAAATGCGATCAAAGAATTGCTGATCTTTTTACCAAAGGAAGTCACCACAGGAACATATCTATCGTGTATCTGACTCAAAATTTATTTCCTCAAGGAAAAGCCTGCAGAGATATCGCGTTGAATACGCAGTACCTAGTATTATTCAATAACCCTATTGACAGACAGCAGGTGGCTACGTTAGCGAGGAGAATATATCCTTCCTCCTTTAACATCTTTATGAAACGCTTCGAACGAGCGACATCGAGACCGCACGGTTATCTAGTGGTAGACTTGAAATCCTCTACTCCAGAACATGACGTTTGCGCAAAAACATTTTTGAAAGTCAAGGTAGGAAAAGACAGCCTGCGGATGATTCCGAAAAATGAGATTAGTGGAGAAGAAAACTTGTCTGACAATACTTTAAATGATGATGTTGATGATGATTATGAGGAGGAGGAGGTGGATGAGTCAGACGACGAAAATATTGGAATGAAAAGAAAGTCTTTCTTTACGGGACCTCCTGGTAAGCGTATAAAAGAAGAGCTCAAAGAAGAACGCAAACGTCATGACATATGGGATAGAAGATTTCAAAAGCCTTTACCGACAGTCTTGTAAAGAACAATTTAAAGACGGGCTAAACAATTACATAGATCAAGAGTACTCTTTTTGATGAGGCTTATGCTCGCACTGCCAATGATGCGTTGCCACATTTGAGAAAGAAGATGAGACAAAATTCATGCCCAGTTTCTGATTGACTTTTACGCATTACAAGAGGACCCCACTCAGCAAAAAATTCTCCAGTCAGCGAAGAAACTTAGACATCAGCACGACATGACCATTGAAGAATCTATCCGACAAGCCGTTAAACTTAGAAAAGACCGGTTTGAGGCGTTATGGCCCAATCACGACATCAAGAATTTTGATGGTGAGAATAATAAAGATGATGACAATGAAGATCACATATCAGATGGAGAATAAAAATACCGTAAGAATGATCTTTGCTCCTTTGGGTTCCATAGAGGTGTACGATCACAAACAACAAAAATGGGTGCCGTATATAAATGACCCAGATAAATGGTATCAGCATTTTAAAGATTTAAGAGACGGTTACGTGACACCCGATCATAGAGGCCGGTACATTATAGGTAGCGGTAATTCGCGTAGAAGGCTCGTGACACTAGAAACGAAGCTCAAAGAAACGGAGAAAAAGCTTAAAGAAACGGAAGAGAAGCTTCAAAATGCACAACGCACTGTGGTTAATATGGTTAGCCCCGTGGCTCAAGCGGTTGAAATGGCAAAGTCGGAAGTAAAACGAATACGTGATTCCAATATAGAAACGTCGGCGCCTAAGAAGCGTAAAACGGATATTGACTGGACTCGGTTCACTTTCTAAAATGGATAATTACCAGCTAGAAAATATATTGAAAAGATACCCAGTGACAGTGTGTGCGGCTGATGAAATTCGTAAACAAAACGGAAGATTTGTGATTTCAAACACAGATACGAGTAACGGACCGGGAAAACATTGGGTAGCCTTCTATTTTCCTAGACATGGACCTTACGAATATTTCGACTCGGTTGGAAATAGTCCAGAAAGCTATGGCGTGGGATTTGAGAAGATACTTAACAAGAAATATCTCAGAAATTACGCCCAACTACAACAACTTTCGTCTAATGTGTGCGGCCTCTACTGCGCATACTATGTCATAAAACGATATCAGGGAAAGACTTTGAAAAACATCGTCAAAGAATTTGATCCGTATCAGAAGAAGCACAATGATCGTTCAGTAGTGTCTAAAATGAAGAAACTAATTTGAAAAAGAGAAGTGACAAAACAATTATATCACTAGTTTTAAAACAATGTTCTGTATGAAATAAAAATATAAATTACCATGTGTTTTGTTTTTATTTATTCCCATAAGAATAGCCTTATACTACTGCTATTGCCCCGTAATACAAGACAACTAGTCCCCGCCTCTCTCTGTTTAGTCCAATCATGTTGCAGTTAGACTAATGAAAATGTGCAAGTACTGTCTTATCAGTGACTAATCAGAACGCTTCTTTTACTCCATTTATTACGATTAACCGTAGCGATTTATTCATTTCCGATTTAGATTGCGAGGAGTAAAGACTAGGGGGTAAGCTTATTTTAGTTATTTTAATGATTTTTACGCATGAGTGATTTTAATTTCGATTTTAGTCCGTATTCATAAAGAGCGGCTTAAGACATTTCATTTGATACCAAACACGCCTTAAATCGGTCCAGGCGTGTTACAGAAAAAACGTTTTTACGCTTCAGTGATTTCAGTTCCGGTCCAATGGCTTTTTGAATAGCGTCAGGTAACAGGCGTGGTAAAATGCTTTCCAACGATACCAAACACGTATATATTCGGTCAAGTAATAACGAAGAAATCGATTTTGAAATTTCTGTGACGTCACTTCCGGTGACTTTAAACTCGAATTACTCAAAAACGGTAAAAGATAAACCCATAAAACTATATATTTTCTTAATCAGCGCGACGAGACGAATCAATTGGTAAACAGTTGTAACGTTTTTATTGACTTTCGCAATTTAGGGTTTAAAATCGCTCTTGCGTCATAACTCAAAAACGGCTGAAAATTAAATCGACAATGGGGGTGTAAATAAAAGGTAATGAACTGTTCTTTCAATTGGTAGTCAACAATTAAAAATCATATCGGATTCGGTTGCTCTAGTAACCAAAATACATATTTTTTACGCATGAGTGATTTTTACTTCAAGTATGAACTTCACTATCACCAGCGTCAGAATATACTCGTCAAGACCTTCAATTTGATACCAAACATGACTATGTTTCGTTCATAAACGAATAAGTTATGCGCGTTTTTCCGCATGAGTGATTTTGTCTTCCATATTGAAACTCTCCTATCTCAGAAACAGTAAAAGATAGATCTATATAATAATACATTTTCTGTATCTACTGGCAGAGATCTTTCAAACGGCATATAAATCTAAGGGTTTTATAAACTTTAAAAAAAATGGTTTAAAAACCGCTAATGGGCCATAACTCGAAATCGGCTAAAAATCGAATCGAGAACCTAGGGTTTATTTTGAAGCATTTTGTCAGGTCTATCATTTGATGCGAAAAAAATCAAAATGTATATCGTAAAATGTTGCACAAAAGACGAAAAACGCTTTTTCTGTTGTATTTTTGTTCGGTTATAATAGTTTTTTTTTATAATTTTGCACATTCGTGATGTTCAGTTTTAAAACGTTTGTTTTCCAAAATGAGTTTAAATTATGCCCCAGTGGTAAACTGACACTTCAATTAATAATTAATTACCCGTTTTTACTTTAGACGGATAAACTTTGACAGTTGAATGGAGCATTGTCCGCATATCCGTCCCTAAATAAACATACGCCAGACCAAGTGGCTACTTTAAAGGGATTAACTTTAACATTTCAATAGGCCAATGTTAGTGTTTCCGTCCCTAAATAAACACACGCCATACATTGTGGCGACTTTACACTCGTGATCAGAGCATTTAGAAATAATACACTGATGATTTGTGTCATTTGGATTCGGACCGCCGAGGAGTCAACATCGTATGTATGCATTTTACGCAGATATTTATCAAATTATTTTACAGTAAATGTCCTTATTATTATTTTATATAGAAACATTATTTGACAGAGTCATAATATCGAATTAAATTGAAAATAAATTTCATATATTTTGTTTTATGTTTAAAATTTTTATAAAGAAACAAATTTAAAGTAATAAATTAATTGTCTTATTTAAAGAGAGTCAATGTCCGCGATTCAAGCCCTAAGGTCGTGTATACGAGTCAGCTCCGTATACTTCCGGGAGATATTATTTCTATTTATAACGTGATGATGTCATTCTTAAAAAAATATCCAAAATGGCCGCCGCGAGTCTGTTATTCAACACGACCGCCGCGCATGTGTAGTGATGTCATTTCTTCTATGCAAATGAGTTACTAATTATAGAAAACAAAATGGTCGCCGCGCATGCGCAGTCTTGGGGCCAAACCGGCCCATATACTACTGCCCTTAACTAGATCTTTACAGTACAAGTATTTACCAAGTATTCGTCCTGGTTCCTCTTGATTGTCTCGGAAGACATTTTCAACCTGTCATCAACTATCAACGTGGTATGAGCCTCTGTTAATGTCTTTACTATAAAATCTATCTCCTGAAATATATATCATCAGCACATCAGATAGTGAACCAAGTTCACGTATAAGAAGGTAATAAGTAACGGATTTTCTAATTAACAAAATGTTTACATTAATATGTTTCTTTAATTTAGTCAATATTACAGGTTTGTAGTTTATTTTGTTTACAGCTTTAATAGTAGCCCATTTACAACACAAACCTGTCTTGACTTATTTATTGTTTTACAAGTTACGCAAACTCCTGAACATGTACAGCTCAACCACTCGATGGTCATAAGTAAAAGAGAAAGCATCGAAACACGAGGCTATCTGATTTATACGAGGGCGCACAAGAGGGCGCGCAACCGAGTGTTCTCGTGTTCTTTCTCTTTTGCAAAATGGCCAAAAATTATTTAGAAAAAAAAACACGTTTCCTGTCGTCACAATATGAAGCCCCAGAGAAAAGTAACAAAATGTACGAGCATATGGCTATGACCTTTTTATCATTATCCCTTTCCCTGTAGTCACACTAAGTAAACCCCTAGAACAAATGAGCCAATCAACGGAAATGCTCTATTTTCATCCCCGACAGACAGTCGTGGAGTGCGGGTAACTAATACCTGCACTACAGTTTAATGCATTGTGCATGTATGGATACGATTTAATTCCGACATATTTTCAATAAAATGTCTCCAAACTATGATAAAAGTTTGTTTGTTTATTTGTTTTTTTCAATTTACACCTTTTCCCAACAGTATTTCAGTCATATAGGTGGGTAGTTTCCTAACCAACGTTCCAGGAGAGTTACACCAGTACTAGACTACCTTCCTCCGTACTGAACAACCAAAGCATCTCCCCGGGATCGAACCCACGCCGTGAGGTAACTGGATTAGAAATCATCGACTCTAACCCCTCGACCACGGAGGCGAAATATAGGTAATATAGTTTATTCATATTATTAATAATTATATAATATAATAATTATCAATATAAAGATAGACAGAGAGATTTCTAGACCTATCACTCATGTTTATTATAATAAAGAGTAGATTCTAGTTGAATTAACTTGTACTTTCTCGCAGATCTAGACAAACCCTACAGGCAATTTGTCCTGAATTTTATTAAAGAAACGACATTTTCCTGCATGTTTTAAATGAATTGTAGTATCCCCGTACTGCCTCTTTCCGATCAGCTAACAGATTTTTCTATAATAACTGACAGTGAAATTATAAAAATAAAATTTCTCTTACAATTCTGCAAATATTATCATTTCAGCTAATAAATGCAACAACTTTTTAAAATTTTACCTGAATTATTATTATGAATCGAGGACAAATCATTACTGACCCATTTTCTTGTTCTTCAAAATTTCACAACCACTTTTCAATCAGTTAACAAAATATAAACTGTACCACATAAAAATTGTCATACAATGTTAAAATATAACCAGTTATGTATTTTGAAGAAATTTTGACAAACTCAACTTCAGATAAATGGTAATAAACAATTTTAACCTATTTATAATGCCATTTTTCAATCTTGATATCTATTTGCAGTAGTAAAGCTGTCACAATTGGGGTATGGATGTACATCTCAATGTGCATAACAGAAAAAGCCTGTTCTTGTGAAATTTTTAGGATCTTAGGGTCTATATGACCCCATTCTAGTGACAGCTTTCTGAAAAGTTATCAGAGAGAATGTTTTTCCTTGGTTAAGTGACTGTTACTTTACTGACGTATTACCTTCCAATTAAGAATTGTATGGTAAAATATGTACATATTAAAATTATAGCTTTTGAAGTGCAGTATACATTATGACTTAATGATATTGAAACAGTTGTCAAACTAAATATCCATTTCTGCAGACTGACAAAAAACTGAGTCTTTAAATCAATTATTTTTCGAAAATTATTGCGATTTGTAACTGGGTAAATAAAGGATTAGTGGAAAACACACATTTTACATATTTTGAACTAAAATACTGGTATTTTCTTTTTTATCGCCATAATTGACATTGCTGCTGATAAATGTAGTCAAGGTAAATGCAAGATGTGCTTACAATTTGGTTACATGACAAATAAGGTCAAAAATAAAAAAATTCTAGGGATGATTGAAAAGTGGTTGTGATTGAAAACTGGCAGTATGTGGATATTCTCTGTCATAATTTTGCCCTATTTTAGTAACAAGCATCGGGGCGGGAAAACAGTTTGTGCGAAACACGTGGCCTGAATAATTTGGCGGGAAACGGAACTAATAATCCCATGAAATCTAATTAAAAGTGTCTCCTTAAAGAAATAGGTAGATCTGAACTTAAGTCAGATTGATATCCCATGTTTTGTAGTAATTTGACACAAAATAGCTTACCTTTAAGGTTAATGCAGGTTCTTTAATTTCTGTCAAGGACGAATGTTTTGATGTTGAATTTTGGCGGGAATTGTCGTCAGATGTGGATAATGATTCATTGGAATGTTCAGACACACCTGTCATTGCAGACGAACTTGCGCTGGCATCATCTGATAACACCGAATCAACAGTAAACATTAAATGGTATTTGTACAAGCATTCAGAACCAATGTGGCCATACCACGTGACTTTTCGGGTACGGAGCACGCCGATTTATCACCCGATTCAGGTATGTTTTTTATTCATAACTTATTTATTACTCAACTGATTTTGATCAGATAAGGCGCAGAATACCCGTAATTATATCAATATTATTACGGGTACTCTGCGCCTTATCTAATCAAAATCGGGTGAGTGAATAAAAAACATTCCTGAATCGGGTGAAAAATCGGCGTGCTCCGTACCCGAAAAGTCACGTGGTATAGCCACATTGAGAACGATATCTAGACAGCAATAATTTAGTTAAAACAATATTAATTTCTTCTTAAATATTTACAGACAAAATTACAATAAATGAATTGCATTCAGGATTGAGAAGAAAGCATAAAGCTTATCTTATCTAAAGAGTTTATTTATGACATAGATATAAATATAGTTCGTAATGGAAGAAAGTAATTATAGATATAGTCTTCGACGCAAGCCTTGGTCTGAAAGTTTGTTTTGTTTTGTTTAGTTGAGTTTACGTCACACCAACACGGTATAGGTCATAATTATAGAGACGTTCCAGCTTTACTGGTGGAGGAACACCTCAGGTGCCCTTCGTGCATTATTTCAGGCACAAACGAGCACCTGAGTAGAACCACCGACGTTCCATAAGCTAGCTGGATAGCTTCCTCACATGAAAGAATCCAAAGGCCCTGAAAGTATCGCCGGGACATTAACACACTAAGAGAATGTTGATATGGATCTCTTGTTCATTTCAATTCTAAGGCTATTGAAGATTTATAAATGGAGGTCTACACAGGCATAATGACCTATCATGCAGAAATATACTCTTAAAGGCACATTATGCCTCAGAAATACAAAATGTTAAACGTGTTTAATAATGTTTTAATTACGGATTAAGAGCATGTGAGATGTCCAAAAAAAAAGGTTCCGAATGTGCAGTAATGTGTCGTAAAGGTAGCAAATGTAAACAAAGTAGGATTTTGACTTCCATACAAAATACTCATTTACTATGATTATACCCATTGACAACAAAGCAAAAGAAGTTAAAGGATGGTTCATCTATATATGTGGCAAATGAGTATTTTTTTGAAACTGTAACAAGATACCAGTTTTTGAGAAATGAATAGATTTATATAAAATTATCAAGTGACATCATCAGCTAAGATAATTCACGGTCGTGCATTTTGATTTATAATATTCGTCCTCATCCGGAGTTCTTAATTTTGTATCTAAAATGACATCGGATCAGGTTTGGCTTAGAATTCTTTTACAGTTCCCCCAAAAACATTATAAAAAACTGTTCACAGATCTGATAAATTTTGATAAGCTTGCAGTATATCCACCTGTCACATCCCACGAGTATTTTAAAACACGTACCTGAACATGGAATCGATTTTGGAGAAGTATCCGAGTCAATTTCTGTCATGGACGTGATAAGAGAGTCAATGCTTTCAATAGATTTTATCTTCTTTATGTTTCGAGTCTTGTGATTCAAGGTGTATCTCCCGATTTTGATTGCTGTAAAGATAAGTAAAATTTTAATAACTGGCAACCTATAAAGACACACATTAGAAAAATCTAGACAAACACCGTACTGGTATTTGAAAAATGCAGACAAACACCATACCGATATTTGAAAAATCTAGACAAACGCCATACCGATATTTGAAAAAATATAGACAGACGCCATACCCATATTAGAAAAATCTAAACATACACCATATTTGAAAAATCTAGACATACACCATATTTGAAAAAATCTAGACAAACGCCTTACCGATATTAGAAAAATCTAGACATACACCATATTTGAAAAATCTAGACAAACGCCTTACCGATATTTGAAAAATCTAGACAAACCCCATACCGGTATTTGAAAAATCTAGACAAACGCCATACCGATATTTGAAAAATCTAGATAAACCCCATACCATTATTAGAAAAATCTAGACATACACCATATTTGAAAAATCTAGACAAACGCCATACCGATATTTGAAAAATCTAGACAAACGCCATACCGATATTTGAAAAATCTAGACAAACGCCATACCGATATTTGAAAAATCTAGACAAACACCATATTAGAAAAATCTAGACAAACGCCATACCGATATTTGAAAAATCTAGACAAACGCCATACCGATATTTGAAAAATCTAGACAAACACCATATTTGAAAAATCTAGACAAACGCCATACCGATATTTGAAAAATCTAGACAAACGCCATACCGATATTTGAAAAATCTAGACAAACACCATACTGATATTAGAAAATCTAGACATACACCATATTTGAAAAATCTAGACAAACGCCATACCGATATTTGAAAAATCTAGACAAACGCCATACCGATATTTGAAAAATCTAGACAAACACCATACCGATATTTGAAAAATCTTGACAAACGCCTACCGATATTAGAAAAATCTAGACAAACGCCATATTTGAAAAATCTAGACAAACGCCAAACCGATATTTGAAAAATCTAGACAAACGCCATATTAGAAAAATCTATATAAACACCATATAAGGAAAATCTAGAGAAATTCAAGATTAATTGAAAAAGTCACTGTGAATACTGATTCAATGGTAGTACCTTGTTTTGTTGTTTTGTTAAAAATGTCTAGAATGACATAGTTAACAAATACAAAGACTTGTAAAGGATACCATAGCTACGGTTATCCAGCAAAATAATAAATTACCATTTTTGGACATGCCTACTGCTAAACATTTTTCATATCTACATGCCGGACAGCCATTTTTAAAAGGGCCTCGTTTCCACGACTCTTTCTCATCCGGCGTGCACTTGCATTTGTAATCCACTTCCTTCTTCTTTAAAGTTCTCCGATAAAATCCCTGAAAAAACAAACGAAGAAGATAATAATAAATTTAAATGTGACATTTTGCAAAATAAACTACTCATTAGGTTGTGGCTTTTTTGTGGTTTTTTTTTTTTTTTTGCTTTGGGTTCCACTGAGGTCCAAAACATAATTAGAAATATACATAAACCAGCTGATGCACTTAAAAGTGAAAGTATGAAAGTAAAAGATAACTAAGAAATATACTAGGAAATAAAATGTAAATCGTATTTTGTGCTATTTCAATCCAATTTGAATGAAAAGTATTTCAATGCTTTCCAATTGTGGGTCACTTTTCACAATTAGAATAATTAGTCTGGACAAAAGAAACTGAACGAATGATCTTTGCACACAAGCAATTGGTCTAGACCTTCATCAAATTAAATATTAATATCGAAAAAATATTTCCGGTCAAGTGGTCTTTTTAACTCGAGTATGATGTCGTCATCAAGGTGCATTCACAGTTTTATGGACAATCATGATATCAATAATCTATATATCACAGTAAACGGTAAAGTGCTGGATAGTATTTTTTGTTACAAATGAGCGTAATGCATGCGGGAGATATCGGATTTACGGCGGTCTTTACAGACAGATTTCAGGGTAACAGAAGAAACCTACTTTACAAGCCTCGCAAGTGTTGGCACCGTAGTGGTATCCAGATGATTTATCATTGCATATATCACAGGGGGGAAGTACGGTAGGTTGGGGCGGGTCAGGATTTTTCTCCCGACGTCTGCGTCGCTTTACTTTTGGCCTAACACCGTCAGTTTCGACAAACACTGTAGTTGTACTGTCGGCATTCAGTTTAGCCTCGTTTTCAAAACGTAAACATGCATCGGCAATGTCATTAAGATCATTTATTGCACCAGAAGTGGAATCAGGATGTATTTCCGTTACTGAAGCATCTGGTTCTAGGATTTCTATATTTGAATCCGCTGAACTACCAACCACGTGTATGTCTATGTTAGGTAGTTCGCGATCGGAAGTTTCAAATGCGTCAATGCTTTCAGTAGAATGAGATTCTATATTTAGAAAAGGAAATTCCATCTGATGACATGGATTTCCTAGGTTACAATGGAAATCGTTAAGAACTATGTATTCTGATGATTCCACGCTGGAAATATTCGAAGGGTTAGAAATGTTCGTGTTTTGGATTGTTCTCGTTGAGTTATTTGATGGCGAATCTTTCTCCACAAACTCTGTGAAAGAATCCATAGAGTCCTCACATAATTGTTCTAAGTCAAAACTTTTTCTTTGTTGAAGAATCAAGTCTGGATTGACATTTACTTCCGGTACATTCGTCGCCATGTTTTCTTTTGACGACGGAACCGGAAATGGTGTTGCATACATTAACACTTGCTCCAAAATGTTTGATAGCTCCTCATTCATAATGTTTCCATCAGTGTGCTCATCAAAAATGTTTGAGTTCATACCTTAAAGTATAAAACAATTATACAAAAGACAATAATGATTGTTTAACTATATCACCTGTATTAAAGGCACGTACATAATTATGTCCCAAAAACGAATAAATTTTCATTTCTTTAGAAAGGGACAATTTATAACGTTTAAATAATGGTTTTAGATTATGTTGGATGCTTGTTACGCTAAATATAAAACAATTTTCATAAAAGTAGCAAAATGTAAACAAAGTAGTTATTTGGCTTTCATAACAAAATACTAAATCACAAAGACTATACAAATTGTCAAAAGGCAAACGAGGATAAGGATTGTTAAGATAATTGGCCAATGAGTTTTAATCGGAAACTCTAAAAGTGCATAAAAAATAACAAGCTTTTTTGGCATTATGGGCCTTTAAACCAGATTTAGTTTAATCATATTTTATTGCTTTTACATTTTATACAAAAACAGATACATTGTCACATGTAAACATACTACAAAACAGTAACGAATACATTTACAGTTATTACATGGATGTTACAGTTATTATAAACAAGAGCTGTCCGTAAGACAGCGCGCTCGACTTTTTTAGTGCTTGCCTATAATACAAAACATTGACAGTTAAGGGCCATAATTCAAATAAAATCTTTGACAGAATTACCTTCTCCTGGACATGTTTGGGAATCATGATTGTAAACAAGTATTCCAACTTTCAAATTAATATCTCAAACAGTTCAGTCAAAAAGTGGACTGGTACTAAAAACTTAACCAAGATTCTAAGTCGATAAAAGGCCTTAATTTTTAAAACAAATCCTTGACAGAGTTACCTTCTCTTGCGTACAGATGGGGTAATGATGTGAAATAGCATTAAAAGTTTCAAAGCAATATCTCAAAGGGTTAAGGCAATAAGTGGATTTTACCCATATTCAATGTATTTTCTAAGTCAAAAAGGGGCATAATTCTGTCAAAAACCTTGACAGAGTTATGTCCTCTTGTCTGTTGATGAAGGTCGTGATGGTAAACAAGTATGGTCAGTTTCAAAGCAATACCTCCAATGGTTTTGAAATAAAGTGAGGTGGTACAAAAAACTTAACCAAGCTCAATACACTTTCTAAGTCAAAAAAGGGCCATAATTCTGTCAAAAACCTTGACAGAGTTATGTACTCTTGTCTGTAGATGGAGGTTATGATGGTGAACAAGTATGGTAAGTTTCAAAGCCATACTTGTAATACTTCTGAAATAAAGTGGGGTGGTACGAAAAACTTAACCAAGGTGTGACGCCAACGCTAACGCCGACGCCGACGCCGACGCCGGGGCGAGTAGGATAGCTCCCCTTTTCATAGAAAAGTCGAGCTAAAAAGCAAAAGGGTCGGGCCACAAGATCACAGGTAAACTTTTCGAGGCCCGTTCAAATTCAATTTTTAAAACTTCTTAAACAATGACCTGCACATATACAGGCTTTCACCAATAATGTTGAGTAAAGATGTGTTATATTATTAGTTATAAAGATTTTTTACAGGATATATGTCCTACATGTATGTAAACGGTTTTATACTGAGCTATGCTAGATTCCACCCTCGGAACCCACGGTATACATTCCGTATATACTGGTATACGGAAAATAGCCTAGGTTACCGAGGATGGTTAGACACATAAAATTTAATGAAACTTATGCCAGAAAAAAATCAATTTCTTTTAACTGTGTTCAGATAAACCATTTTTCGACTGTCATGTATACTTTAAATATAGAACAAACTTTGCACTAAATACTCCTACTCCGTATATTTACTTACCGACACAGATCAAACAAATATCCAATGTTTTACAAAAGAAATTAATAATTACTCACGCAAACACCACTGTTTTGTTTTATAGAAAATAGTCAACTTGTTCGTTAAACACGCTTTTATAGTTGTTTAAGAATGTTATATAAATAAGGGCATGCATGGTACTTGAAAAGATAAAATATGGTTTATCTATCGACAGTTAATGTATAGATATGGCCGTGAACAGTCTGTCAAAAGAAACAATTTTACATGCTAGAGGTCGCTTTAATGTTATCTTTTGAACATGCTTTACAAAAACTCAACACTGTATACTTTATTTTAAAACAAATACACAGCAGCAATACGTACTTATTCAAAAACTACATGTATATAGAATGAAAATTGACACATGACATATAAACACACGTGCACGTCGAGGTCAACATACATGATGTGTAATTAATGATATACAATGTACATGTAAATACATGTATGCTTGCAAACTTAAAGGCCCAATACACCCCCCCCCCCCCCCCCCCCGAAATGTTATTATTTCTATTTCTCAAAAACTTCTAATTGTTGCATTTTCCAATTAATTACTCATTGGCCATCCAGATGAACTACCTTTTGCTCTTTGTCAATGGGTATAATTATAGTGAGGTAGTATTTTGTATTGAAGTCAAAATACTACTTTGTTTAAATTTTGATATCCGAACGACACATTAATGTATGCTCAGTGTTACTTTGTTCAGTTGTTAAACATCTAATACGCACTAAATCCATTATTAACTTAGCATTATTAAACACACATGTTTCCTCTTTCTTAAGAATGATGAAATATTGATTTCTGAACCATTTATAACTTGTTAAAAAATGGGGATATCAAATCATTATATTATCATCGAAAATAATTATACTGTTTTCCTTATTGATAGATATATAAAGAAAAACGTAATGCCTACCTAATCTATCCACCTATACCCTCTTTTAAAGGGGAGACTGGACACAGAACTATTTTTCTTAAACAATTTGTTTGGACGGACCTTCTGGTATATTTAACAAAATGAAACTAAAAACTGATGTGTTTAACATGCAAGTATAGCTTTCCTAGTTGGTTGGTTCCAGGAACGGATTCGAAAGTGTTTCAATAAGGTTATAGCTTCAAGACAATCAAACTAAAATAAATTTGTATTAACTAATGAGATTGTTGTTAAATTTTGATCGCAGAACACCCTACAGTTACAACGATGTTACTGAGAACGCTGAAAGAATCATATCACGTGATCTTTCAAAAAAGAAGAAATTAATACGTACTCACTTTGTTATATTGATCACTTTTTCCACAGAACACAATTATCCGGCTTAGAATTATTCCATTAATATTTATATCATTAAAACAAAATTACTATCCAATTATCTATCTATTGAACCAATGTAAATTATCTACGGGCGTTTTTGATAACAACTATTTAAACATAAATATTGCATTTCGTACATGATACAACGTAATCGTTCTTTTCTAGTTTTGAAAGTGAGACTGATTTTTTTTTCAGCGTTTCAAAACCGTCCACAAGGCATTTAAAATATAAAGCGATGCGCGAATCCTTGTAAATGGTAAAATTTATAGACGTTATTATATTTGTAAATCACCACACGTGTATTATCGACATGGTACTATATCGTTATAATTGTAGCTCGACTACTGATCGAGTACTATAGTGAATTAGTTAGTGATCATGCGCAATAGTGGCCGTGCGTAGGCGGTGACTGTTTTTTTCTTCATATTGTTCGTTCTTTCAATAACTACGCCAGAGACATGAAAACTCCCAGCAGACATGAAAAGTATTCATATTAAACTGCTCTTGTTGTTGTTGTTTTTTCTGTTTTTTTTCTCTTCTTTTTTTGTATTGCGATTTAAAATAATCTTTATTCCATATCTACATGTTTGTTTATTGTATAATTAAATTTCATACTGTCATTCTTTCCATAACTACCTCACAGGCATGAGAACAGACCCTATTAAAGTTAAAAACTAAATTTATGAATACCCATTGAATGAATGGATTTCGTGAGAAACGGATTTCGAGACAAACGGGTAAACAATTTGCATTTTTTTTTACATTTAAGTAGACATGAAATTTTAATGATTATATACAATATTATATCAACGCCTACAAAATCAATTAATGTGTATGGCACTTTTACAAAAGGTAGTCCTATCCCAGCCATTAGGCCTGACACGTTTTGTAATTGTCATTTGATCGTTTAACATTCTTTCAATGTAGCTTGATCTTTGTTATGTTAATTCTCTTTTTTTTTGTCCAGACTGCATCTCAATGATGTACACCAACTCTAATGCGTTTATTATTTTTTTATTGTCTTCTTTTTAACATAAATTAAAATTATGTTATTTAACCAAAGTCAAAGAATGTTTTCAACCAAATTATAATTCTAACCAGGGTCTTTCAAACGGCATGGTCTGAAGACCCTGTGTGCTAAGCGAAAATTTAAAACCCTGTCAGGGCAAAGTCGTTACTTCTTTGAGCAAGAAACTTTACATCCATTGGCTTTTGCTTAGTATTGACTGGTTCTAGGAACGGATTCGAGAGTGTTTCAATATGCTTAATTAAAGCTTCCAACACAAATTTTTGTTTGTTTGTTTGTTTTATTTTACGCCTTTTCCCCAACAGTATTTCAGTCATATAGGCGGGTAGTTTCCTAACCATCGTTCCTGGAGAGTTACACCAGTACTAGACTACCTTCCTCCGTACTAAACTACCAAAGCATCTCCCGGGGATCGAACCCACGCCAGAGAGGTAACTGGATTAGAAGTCATCGACTCTAAACCCTCGACCACAGAGGCGGTTGAGGAAGAAACTTTACATTCATTGGCTTTTGCTTAGTACTAGCTAGTTCCAGGAACGGATTCGAGAGTGTTTCAATAAGCTTAATTAAAGCTTCCAATACAATCGAACTAAAATGAAATTGTATAAACTAAACTTATTTTATTGAAATAGACCTGTAATCTTAACTATTGATGGAGATTTACATTAACTAGATAATTTAGTAAACAGCGCCTGAGCATAGCAAACTATAATTTTATATATTAGGCCTATGGAGTATAGTGTATGACCATAGGTGTTCGGCGCGTTGATTTTTCACTACCCCCGGCCCAACCCCATTCCCCCCATCACCCACTCTACAACCCTCCTACCTCTCAAAACCATGTAAACTGCAGTATTTTTCATTTTATTCACATGTTTTAATATTTGGTATATGCTTTTAATTCAATTACCTTCATTTCCCACAACAAAAAAATACTAAATATATATTATATCATTTTTATTTGTTTGGGTCGTCAGACCAAACAAATAATGGTAGCGAAATTTCAGAGTCTAATGCTGTTAATTGCAAATGCCGAAAGTAGTCCACTTTTTTGAAGCAGTTACTTCCCTTAATATGTACACTAACGCCGAAAAATTCAGGGGAGATCACTGCGTAAAGATGGTCAAAGACAGGCACATTAATTTTCAAGCAAAATAATGCCCGAATGGTCGGAGATTTCTAATATTGTTTGATTGCATTTTCTGATCGAAAATAAGTAAATACAAAGCGGACATTCAATCTCTGACACAGAAGTTTACAACAAACCTAACAACAAGTAGTTCTCAAAACAGCTTAAAACTAGCGATTAAAAAGAAAGAATTTTTTTTATTTTGTTACAAGTATCCAACAAATTACAACGCATTCAAAGTATAAAAATAGCGTAGGCTTATCGAATTGTCAAGAAATGCACAATCACAAATTACGCGGATGAATATGATTTTATCAATGAAAATACTATTTTTAGCGATGTCTATTACCGAATACTACGCTAACCGAGTAGTGGAATATATAGATTCTACATGTCGGACTGTTTGGGCGAGAAGATTTTCGCTAAATTATTTACTTCAATTTTAAACAACAGGTTTATCCTGAACAAAATACCTCGAAATAAATATGGATTACAAACATGAAATGCAATGGAAGTTTTAAATTTAGAATGACTTGATGTTATTCAGCCATTGTTTGTATAACTTCTCCGTGGTGCAGGGGTAACGCGCTCGCTTAGTGAGTAAGAGGTCTTGAGTTCAAATCTCAGTCGAGGGAACTTTTTTTTTAAATTCTTTTTAAGTGTCTTTGTTAAGGAAGTAGCCATGATAAAGTGTGACTGTCGTAAAAATGAACATAAATGATTTTTTGATGCAACTCTAGTTATGCAGAATTCCGTGTGTATCAAACTCTGGTGCCTTGCAAAATGAATTATAATACATAAAAATAAACTTATACAGGAAAATACATACAGATCTACAGTACGATTTAGATTGCAAAAATCAGAAAATACCACAGAACTTGTAGCCCTTTGATTCTTTATAAATATACATGCTTATAGTAAGCTCCAGGATTATTTACATCTGTGTTAAACAACAGTTAAAGTCATTACAAGCCCTAATTTAGAATAATATGGTTTTCTTCAGGCCGTTTAAATATAAATTCACCGTGGCTGTAGGGTTTTCGCGCTCGCTTAGGAAGTGAGAGGGATGGAGTTCAAATCCCAGTAAAGGCAACTCATTTTTTTTTCAAATTGTTTAAGTCAAATAAACATTGGATTGAATATCAGTGTTGCAATTAGTCTTATAGCCAATTTACTAGTTAAAACACTGGAAAGCATTGGTGGCACTATACATATTACTCATAACCTGTACCTTTCTTACATTCTGAGACCCAAACAAATTCAGCGCCTTCTGTGCTTTGATTTATTACAGGGGTTTGAGAGGTAGGGAGGGTTGTAGAGTGGGTGAGGGGGGAATGGGGGTGGGACGGTAGTTACCAATCAACGCGCCGAACGCCTATGTGTATGACCATTAAGTTCGATTTGTGATATTTTTGTTTTAAATAGACGCTACATACTATGATAATACGTCAATATGTCGAAAGCAAATCCCGGCTGTAAACTTATCCGCGCGATGCATATTACATACAGTGATAATGTTGAAAATATTACAAAAAA